TCAACTGTAGTTATCCATTGCCATTTTAACAAATCACCCTAAAACTCAGTAGCTCAAAACAAAGTCATTTATTATCTCAGTTTATGTGGGTGAAGATGGTAGGAGCAGCTTAGCTGGGAGGTTGTGGCTCCGGATGTTTAGCGAGATTGCAGTCCAGACGTCGACTGGGCGGTAGTCATCTGAAGGCTCATCCGGGGTTGGAAGATCCTTTCCCAGGGTGGTGCACTCACATGGCTGTAGGCTGGAGGCCTTAGTTCCTCACTACGTGGGTCTTTCCGTAAGCTGATTGAGTGTCCTCATGACATGGCAGCTGACTTTTCCCGGAGGGAGTGATCCAAGAGAGAATGAACAAAGAAGAAGCTGCAGTGCCTTTTATGACCCAGTCTCTAAAGCTGTACTTTGCTACCTCTGCCGTGTTGTTTTTGTCCTAAAGTCTAGCCCACACTTAATAGAGGGGAATTTGGCTCCTTCCTTCCTTTCTCTCTGTCTGCCTCTTTCTTTTTTTCTTTTCTTTTCTTTCTTTCCTTCGTTCTCTCTCGCTCTGTTTCCTTCCTTCCTTCCTCTCTCCCCCTCTGCCTTTCTTTCTTTTCTTTTTCTTTCTCCCTCCCTTCCTTCCTTCCTTCCTTCCTTCCTTCCTTCCTTCCTTCCTTCCTTCCTTCCTTCCTTCCTTCTTTCCTTCCTTCTTCCTTCCTTGTCTCCCTCTCCCCTCCCCTCCCTTCCCCTCCTTTCCTCTCTTCTCTTCTTTTTAAGGCAGTGTCTCGCTCTTTCACCCAGGCTGGAGTGCAGTGGCGCCATCTTGGCTCACTGCAACCTCTGCCTCCTGGGTTCAAGCAATTCTCCTGTCTCAACCTCCCGAGTAGGTAGAATTACAGGTGTGTGCCACCACGCCCAAGTAGTTTTTTGTATTTTTAGTAGAGATGGGCTTCCACTTTGTTGGCCCAGCTGGTCTCGAACTCCTGGCCTCAAGTGATCTGCCTGCCTCAGTTTCCCAAAGTGCTGGGATTGCAGGCATAAGCCCCTGGCCAGTGCATAAGCCCCTGGCCAGTACAAGTTTTTGATAAGTGGCAGGTCACACCTGGCCTCAGAGGCAGGGCTACAATAGGGAGTGCTAAGGACTGTGGTTAGCTAATGGTGCACTCCCCATCTAAGGGGGCCCTGGCTGTTCTTCACCATTGCCGGCTCTCCAGCCTGGGACTTAGGCTCCTGTGACCAGATCAGCAGATTCTTCAAGAGAAGCTAGAAATTAGGATTTTATGTGAATTTTTTTTTTTTTTTTGAGACAGGGTCTTGCTGTGTCACCCCAGGCTGGAGTGCAGTGGCTCAATCATGGCTCATTACAGCCTCTTCCTTCTGGGCTCAAATGGTCCTCTCACCTGAGCCCCCTGAGTAGCCAGGACTACAGGCATGTGCCACCATGCCTGGCTAATTTTTAAATTTTTTTCGTAGAGTTGGGTTTTTTCCGTGTTGCCCAGGCTGGTCTTAAACTCCTGGGCTCAAGTGATCTTCCCTTCTTGACCTCCCAAAGTGCCGGGATTATAGGTGTGAGAGCCACTGTTCCTGCTATATGTGAAATATTCTTATTTTTTTAAAGTTGCCAGCTAATTCTAATAAACAGCAAGTACTGAGTGGGCCTAAAATATATGTTCATGGTGAGAGTCCATCCAGGAGCTGGTTTTATCTCCCAGGCCTATTATGTACTTTCGTGACCTTTAGTCATGACCTTTAACCCTCCCCAGCACTGATCAGCTTGCTCATCTTTCTCTGCTACTGCGCTCCAGCCCTGAGGGGCTCAGAATCATGTCTGATTCCTTATCTGAATCTCACCACCCTGGTACATTCTTGCCCCGTGGCAGAGGTTCAGTAAATACTTTGCAAGCCAAGTAGAATCGAACCACCTGCCGGGGTAAGTGCACAGTTATGGTGGGCTGAATAACAGTCCCCCAATCATTTCCACCTCCTAATCCCCAGAAGTTGTGACTATATGGCCATACAGGGCAAAAAGGACTTTGCAGATCTAAGCTAAGGATCTTGAGATGGGGAGATTGTCCTGGGTTGTCTGGGTGGGCCCCCATTTCATTGCAAGGGTCTCTATAAAAGGGAAGCAGGAGGGTAAGAGGCAGTAGCAGGACATGTGGTGATGGAGGAAGAGGTTGGAGTGATGTGGGGAGGGGGCCAGAAGCCAAGGCATGCGGGCGGCCTCTCATCACTGAAAAGGAAAGGAAACTGATTCTTGCCTGGAGCCTCCGGCAGGAACCAGCCCTGTAGACCCCTTGACTTCAGCCCTGTGATCCTGACCCAGGACTTTTGATCTCCAGAACTGCAAGATCAGTGTGTTTGTGTTGTTTTTAGCCACTTAATATGTGGTTATTCATTACAGCAGCTACAGGAAACCCGTATGCCAGGGATGCCAAGACTCCCCCAAGGAGGTGGCCTCAGTGTTCTTTAATTTCCCTATGAATCAGGAGGCTTTAGTGACAGAAACCTTAAGCAAAAGAAGCTTAAGCAAAAGAAGAGAATTTGTTGGTGCACATCACTTCAGAGACCAAAGATATCTGGTTTCTATGCTCACTGCTGGGGCTGAGATGATGGGTGTGGCTGGGAACGTGACTCCATCTCCTGGCCCTGCTGTCTTCCAAATGGGCTTCAGTATCAGGAGGCTCCCAGATGGCAGCAGGGACGATGGCCCAAGCAGCTCCTATCTTCCATGACACCACCTGGCAGCCCTGGCGGGGAGGAAAGGCTACGTCCTGAGTGCTCAGAAGAGGTCCTGGTGGGTTCTCAGTGGCCCAGCTGGACTCTTTGTTGTTCTTGACCCAAATACGGCTGTTTGGCAGGGCCTGGGTCACGTGCCCACCCTGCAGCTGGGGTGGGGTGATGCGATGGGAACAGCTTCACCTCTGCCAGATGGACTGCAGGTCAAAGAAGGAGGTTCCTTGAAAGAAAGTTGACATGTTCTTTTCAGTGAAAAGGGGAATGGAGACCAGGTAGCAAAAGCAATAAAAGCCCATGACGATCATCCCAGGCTCCAAGTTTAGTTTTGTTTTGAGTGAGGGTCTCACTCTGTCAGCTAGCCTTGAGTGCATGGCATGGTCATGGCTCACTGCAGCCTCCACCTCCTGGGCTCATGTGATTCTCCCACCTCAACCTCCTGAATGAGGACTTTTTTTTTTTTTTTTTTTTTTTTTTTTTTTTTTTTTTTTGTAGAGGCAGGGTTTGACCATATTGCTCAGGCTGGTCTCAAACTCCTGGGTTCAAGCAATCCTCCTGCCTGGGCCTCCACAAGTGCTGGGGTTACAAGTGTGAGCCATGGCACCTGTCCCTCCGAATTTTTGATCCTAGAATTCAGACTTTGTTCTTGATAAGTGGTCGATTGTGTTTTGAAATGCCATACACATCTCCATACCTAAGTCTAATTTTGTTTTATTTAATTATCTTTATTAAACACATTTTAAATTACAAAGATGATAATATAGGCCGGGTTTGGTGGCACTCACCTGTCGTCCTAGCTACTTGGGAGGCTGAGGCAGGAGGATCTCTTAAGCCAGGGAGTTTGAGGCTGCAGTGAGCTCTGATTACACCACTGCACTCCAGCCTGGGCAACAGAGCAAGACCTTGTCTCT